CTACTACTACTACTACTACTACTACTACTACTACTACTACTACTACTCTACTACTACCCAGGACATCAGTGTCTTCTTTTGGAAATGTTTTGGTTTTGGTTTCCTGGTTTTGGTTACCGAATCAGCGGTTTTGGTTACCGAATCAGCGGTTTTGGTTACCGAATCAGCGGGTTTTGGTTACCGAATCAGCGGTTTTGGTTATCGAATCATAGTTACCGAATCAGCGGTTTTGGTTACCGAATCAGCGGTTTTGGTTACCGAATCAGCGGGTTTTGGTTACCGAATCAGCGGTTTTGGTTACCGAATCAGACGTTTTGGTTACCGAATCAGACGTTTTAGTTACCGAATCAGCGCTTTTAGTTATCGAATCAGCGCTTTTAGTTATCGAATCATAGTTACCGAATCAGACCGTTTGGTTACCGAATCAGACGTCGACCTATTGACATGGATGGCGTGGCCGGGAGGATCCAAGTTCAGGTTTCAGATTTCAGGTTCAGGTCTTTGTTTGTTTCGTTCTTGGTAGGCTACCGGCTAGACCGACGGCTGCAAGAAGGTCAAAAAGGGTTTCGTTCTTGTCGATGGAAGGTGATCTTCATTCCAAAGGGCTCTTCAAAACCTTGCTTCTTTCGTCCTCCGCTCTCCTCCGCTCCTTTCAGGAGGTCTACCGAAAGCTCTTGGATGCGCGGCGGAAGCGAGAAGAGGCGCGTGTTGGAAAAATCCCAGCTGGATATCCAGCGAGATCAGAAGGGGGTTTTCCAGATGGATCTGTGCAACCAAACCCACCCCAAAGATCTCCCAAAAATTTGGAAGCTATGCTTTGCTCGGGGGTTTGGGTACGGTTTTCACGGACACAGAAGTCAATGTGTATTTGTGGAAGTGCTTAGGTGGTTCTTCTTCTCCAGAAACCAAAACACCGAGAACCGTTGTCGCATCATGTGACTCTGAGCCGTTGAGCGGATAAACGGCCAAACCGTGGCCCTAAACGGCCTGAACGGGTCGATGAGACGTGAAAATATGTGAAAACCTTAGGGACAGGGACACTGAAAGGAGAAACGATGTGTTTCGTTTTTTGGGGCGAAGACCACAAGAACCTCGAAAGTAGATGTGGTTATAAGTTATAAGGCCTGGAGACCCAGGCATCAAACACTGACTGGTGCGGGTATGCATCGACCACTGACTGGTGAGAGCACTGGTTTTTTTCAGGCATACAATGGGCTTCGAGCATCAAGGATCTCAATGATTCGGTCAAGACCGTGCTTTTGCGAGTCCAAACAACGCAATGCATCTATACATCTAATCGAGCTAAACGTTACATGTTTAGGTTAGACAATCCCTAGGAGTGGCCTTGGTTTTGGATTGCCACCAACCCCAAGGATGGTCTTGTGCTATCAAAACAGCTTCTATTTGAAGACTTGCGCATCTGAACCTAGAGGAAAAACAAAGTTCAGTTTCGGTTTCCTCGGTTCGGTACCCATCTCGCATCTCACCACCCTGGGAGGCCAGAGAAACCGAAGACAGCGATGCTCGGTGCTTTCAGTCGGAGGATATTCTCGCGAAGAGTTTCAGGATTGATGAGAATAGTCAAGATGTCAAGACCGGAGTAAAAAGACTATTTTATAAATGGTCTATGAAGGTGACCCAAAAAGGATGTTCCTTTACTTCAGTCGGTCCCAACTAGTCTTTGCACTGAAGTCGGGAAGGCATTGTCAAATTCTGAGGGATCCTTTCTTTGTGATCTCTGGAACCAGAACTCCAAAACACGGCCCCCGGCCCGTGTTTCTTCTGTTACGAAGGCGGTGAACCTTCCTGGGGGCAGCATCGGTTCGAAAATACGAGACGTCCGGACGACGTGTTTTTCTGTTGTAGAGGACAGATGAAGAGTACTGGGAGTGATGTGGATTTCTTCTTGTTCCTAGTAGTGATGCCCTTTGCTCCTAGTAGCGATGCCAGGAGCCCCTATTAGCTTCTTGTTCCTAGTATGCATTGGTTTCGATCCTTTTGAGTCCTGCACGCATTTGAATTCTTGTTTGAAATTGCTTCTTGTTACTAGTAGTAAGGCCAGGAGCCCCTAGTAGCGTCCGATCGCTCCTAGTAGCGATGCCCTTTGCTCCTAGTAGCGGCCTTGCTCGGAGTGTTTGGATGATGATGCTTCCCAGTGAAGTGGTTTCCGCTCTCCAGATGCTTTCGGAGCCATCTCCCTGAAGATCTTCCGTTGCTGCCTGCGGCCGGAAGATCTGCCCGCCCCACGAGGAACTGGCAAAAGCCATCGCTTTATCCTTGGAGTAGCCATCGCCCCACGAGGCGCGAAAGATGCGGAGCGCACCTCATCTGGAAGCCATGCCACACGTGAAACGTGAATCGGGTAGGAGGAGAACACATGGCGTCCTACTCGGGCTCGTCCGAAACCATGATCTGGATCGAATTTCCCACCCCCAAGAGCCAAAGCGAAGGGCTAAAGATCCCAACAAAGCCCGCCTGCGAACTACCAGCACCCAACTCTACAGGTCGGTGGCTGAGACTTCACAAAGTGGCAGGTGGTGACCTGGCAGAGCCACGCCGCTCCCGCTCCTCCCGCTCCTCGCTCCACGCCCACAGGCCGCCGCAGCCGGCGCAGCATCCCGCGGCGAACGCCGAAACGTGCTGTTCGCCGTGAGAAAATGGAGCCTTTTGGGCGGTGGAAGGGCGGGCGAGGGGCGATTCCGGCAGAGGAATGTGTTTCAACAGCGGTTTGGGAGAGACCGAGGCAGAAGCACTGACAGTAGGGCCCCTAGGGCTGAAAAAATAGAGGCAAAACGATCCAAAAAGGCGATGGTGACCAACTCACCCAAGATCCTACATCACTAGGAACAAAGGGCCTTACTAGTAGTAACCAGAAGCTACTAGAAACAAGTGCCACGCTAGTAGTAACAGGTGCCTTACTACTAGTAACAAGAAGCTACATGTCGGGTCGAAGTCTCTGGTGGGAGACCTCACCGGTGGGAGAGAAACGCACCGACCCCGGCAGGTGCAGGTCAACGTCTGAGCGTCGCGACCGGCTGAGCGGTCGTAGAGAGAGGCATTCGGTTTTTTGTCGATTTATTGGTGTCGAAAAAAGCTGTGCGGCGTGGGTGTTTGGTGTTGGATGTGGGGTTGGGGGGGTTCCCTGGTCAGAAGAAGCCGACCTCACCATATGGATGAGATAAAATCATTCCATCAAAGTCAGTTGCCAATTCCGCCAGATCTGGAAATCCCCGATTCACCAGTGGCTTCAGGGACACCGGACACCGCCACGTGTTTCAAACAAATCCCTAACAGGCTGTTCCTGCTGATTTGTTCCTGCCAAACAACTCTTCCTGAGTCTTCCCCTATCAGCAGGTTCAGACTTTCAGTGGTTAAGCGCTATTCTATGACCGTATGTGATCAATGTCATGAAGGGGACCAGAAGAAGAAGAAGGAGCTGTCAGAAGCGGTGGCCTTTCTTAGGTCTCCGAGTTTAGTAGGCCTATCCTCTACTTTCCATGGCCAAATTTAACGTCAGGTTCCAGTCTACTTCTTGTTCAAAGTTGATTTTTTTGTTGATCACATGACTGAATCATTCACAATCCTACGTTTGCGTACACGGTGCATCCCTCCATGCTGTGATTACTGTGCAGATGACCCTTCAGTGTCGCCCCTGCTCGGGTTGATGCTGAGTCAGTGAAGAGCCTCAAGTTCCAACATCGGCCAGCTGGGAGGTAGTGAGTTGTTTCTATTTTGGAAGCAGATGATTGAGGCAAAGCCAGGTAAAGTCTACCGTTTGGGGAGGGGATCAACTGCCACTGGCAGCAAGAAGTGGCACAGTCCAACTAAAATCCACTAGACTCGTTCTGCCTGCGATAGCGATAGGCGCCGTTCCTTGATCGAGTAGATCCGAGCGGTTGGCTTATCGCTCGAAAGACCAGAGGTACCGACCGGAGTTCCGAAGGGGACATTTCTCATGCTACACAACACATGCTGCTGGACTTCGGCATAGAACTCATACGGAGCAAAAATGGTAGTTTACGCCGTGGTTGGTTTTCCAGGTGCACACCGTTGAAGAAATCAACCATAAATGTAGAGGGCTGAACCTCAGAGGTCAAGCGCCCCACAGCAGGAACGCTCAGTCCAACGAATGGTATCCATGTTTTCAAACCCCTCCCTTCTGGAAAATGTCATTGTTGCTTAATCGAAGCTTGCAATGAAAAACTAGAACTTTACAGAGCATCCAGCTACAGACTTCGTGACCGCACACGAATACCACCACTTAAATAGCTTGACCACCAGACACGAGCCACCTTCTCCAGCATGTCCGCAGCATGCCATGCCGACCTGGCGCGTGTGCGGTGGACAGCAGAAGGGTGGCCTGCTGGTGCGCCGCGGCGCAGGCGACGTGCAACGGCGGACGACCAACGGCCGTGTTTGAAGAGCTCGCACTAATGATTTGGTTCCTAGATTTTCAGGGAAACTTGAGTATACTGAGAGGATTTCCATTATAAGGATTGATGGTCCAGCTAGGATTGATTGGTGAAGTATAGGGATGGTTCAAGAGGTAGTCATCAAGCAATCCCTTCTACCACCAAAAAGTCTCAATTCCAAATCCTGTGTAGTCGATTTCGGCAAAGAAAACGTATGAAATGCACCATTTCGGGGTCGCAGCGGTCCAAACCATTGGTTTGCCGCTCAAACGCTTCAGTGCAGGCAGCGGCCCGTTCGGGTCGGTGTGTCGTGGAACGGTCCCATCCATGGGGGAGTAGACTCCCAGAAAGACACCAAGTCAATGAACCACCCCCCGGCTGGAGCTCGGGAGGTACAATAGTAGCTTCGTCGTTCCTAGTAATGCCAGGAGCTACTAGCGTCCGACCGCTCCGTTCGTGGCGATCTGCGCTTCAGCTGAGTCCAAGCCTGCACCCGTGGCTCGGTTCGCGCCTGGCAGGCTTGGACTCGGAGCTTCTGGCCGCGCCTCGGACCGCCGCCACCGAATCGGGGGGGTCACGAGGCGTTCGGAAGCTTCTAATGGGACCCTGAAGGGTTTCCTTTTCTGGAGAAGCTTCTTGGAACAAGTGACTCTACAAGAACACAAGGTCACCAGTCAGGCTGTTCCCTTAGACCAGGCTAGGCGGCAAAAGAACATGGCCAGGCGTTGCACTGACCAAAACACCCGCAAGAACAGATTCTAGAGA